CGCCCCCCCCCCGCCCCCCCCCGCCCCCAGACCCCACCCTCCCCACTGACTACAGCTGTAGTTCTACAACACGTCCTGTTGAAGTTGTATTGAGTTCTTCATTCCCAGTCTTTCTCTGACTTCTCCACTTTTTCCCCCCCCCCCCCCCAGAAAACACACACACACACACACACACACACAGAGGACTGGAGGTTCTGCTGCCGTTACCCTGGAAATCCAGTCTTCTCCGTCGCCGCGCTGGCCACCGACTCCGTCTCCATGGTAACCTCACAGGGCGCAGCGAGTGAGAGCAGGGAATAATAATGACAGCGTTAGAAGAACATCAGAGCAGAGGCGTCAGCACATGAATACAGACGAGTTCATTCAGTTCTTCAGGCTCCGAGGAGAACTTTTTCAAAAGTTGTTTTTTCTTCTTCTTCTCGTTTTTCTCGGACATTAAATGCAATAATTAAAAACAAAATGTTATTGTTTTTTAAAAAGTCCGTGATCAGACTTTAGTTGAATCCAATCTGAAAGAAAAAATGTTTTTTAAAGTAAAGTTTGCAGTATTTTGTTGAAGATTATACCCATGGACTTGTTTATTTTTCAGGGGCCCAATCACCAAGACAACAGGCCTATCCCCTGGTCCCCTGCCCACTGGTTGAGAACCACTGATTCACAGCAGGTTTTTCACTCTCTATATCTTCATTTTCTTTTTTTGTATTTGTGAGATTTAGGGGAATATTAATCCACTAGGTGGCAGTAATGCAGGGCTCAAGAAGAAGAATTGCTTATTGAACATTTGGAAATTAGGATTTTGTTAAGAAAAAAAAACGTTCTTAAATGGAAATAATGTGTTGTTTTTTACTGTTCACATTTTTCTACCGACTTCATATGGTATAGTGAAACCTTTCAGCTATTTATTTTGACGACCTTTGACCTTCTTGTGGGCCTGCAGAGGGTCCTGACTGCACGGTCTCTGAATTTAAAATATTCACCCTGTGACGAGCTGTTGCTCATTTCCCACAGGAACAAAGTCTTTGTCTAAACACAAAGCTTTTATTGTGGCAGAGAGTTTGTGAATGGCCACAAAAGATGGGGAAGTAAAGGGGGTCGGAGTGGAGGAGCGGTCTGGTACATGTGGACGACAGCTGAGGAATGAAGTTAAAGGTGGGATGGACCTAAAGAATTAAAAGAAAAGAATTAGATCAATCAGAATTTATCCTGATGAATCATCAATAGTTGACACAATGAGAAAAGGTGCTAACGTTAGCTCTGGTGTTTGTACCAGGACTGTTGTAGCTAACGTTAGCTCTGGTGTCTGTACCAGGACTGTTGTAGCTAACGTTAGCTCTGGTGTCTGTACCAGGACTGTTGTAGCTAACGTTAGCTCTGGTGTTTGGTGCATTTCACATCATCCAACATCCTTTC